AGAAAGATCATTCTTGTTTTATATCAAACATTTTGCTCTGACAACGGCGAGTCATATTTGATGAAATGTTGCATGGATCACACCATTTTTACAATTTAGTGCAGGAGAGAAAGAAATAGAAAGGACTAATGGATGGGGCTGGGTTTGGGGATTTTTTGATGGGTTTGGGATTGGAGTTTTTTTGGTTTTGCGCTTTTTGTCTCTAAGACACTTCTAAATTCCAGTCAAGTGATGCAAGTTCACGTAAGTATTTTAACTTCTTTTCTTCAACATCAAAGAAATTGGTCTGGTTTTATAGGTGTATTTTTATCTCTCTATTGTGTGCACTTCCCCTTCAGACACTGGGAAAATAAGGTCACGTTCCCTACTGTGTCCATCCTTTTCTATTGATTTTACTTTCTTAAAATCCTAATAGAGCTTGAAATTAATACCGCTTAATTTTCTTCTCCCTTTCTTGTGAACCAACAAAGCTTTCTTATTGCTGCTACACCACTCTGGGTACAAAGAAGATGATAGAGTTGGCATCCTCCTTCTAATGGCAAGAATCCCTCAAAAGAGAAAATCAGGAGGGTATTTGGTTCTTTCTCCAAGGAAGTAAAGGCTTTTCCTTCGAGCCTAGAAAATGATGAGCAGGGATACTTCTTCATTCAGTTCAACAAGGGATGGATCACAGAGAGTTACAAACCCCTCTGATGTGACAAAATTCAGATTCACTGATGTTAGGACAGGTCTGCATTCCTCTTCTTAGGCTGCTTTCTCAGTGCTGTCTGCTCTACAAAAAACCCAACCTTTTCATACTCCCCTGCCTGGGACAAGCAACTTGTCTAGTGCCAGGGAGCTCCCCCAGGAGCCAGGTGAATGCTGTTCCATTCCATTCAGTACTGGAACTAGCCACTTCAGGATCCAGTTGGAAAACATTTACCCAGGGGTAGATAAAGCCAGGTGAGGAGACTGTCAGCTATGGAAGCTGCTTGGTTGTTACCAATGTTCTCCATTCATGAGCAACGATGCTGGAGTGGTACTCTCCAATTCCTTGCTCACAGCATGGAGACCAGCAAGAGCGTACAGGAGAACATGGAAGTCATCACAGCTACTGAATCAGCGACCTTCCGTCCTGCCAGTGAAATTACTGGGGAGGAAAAGACACTTCATGCCCCTTGGAGGCACTTGGCTTTTGTGGGAGGGACTGAGGATTTTATTGGTGAAAGCACCTGGAGGCAGGTTCGTTGCCAATAATGGAACACGCCCACCCTGATTAGCACGGGCTCCTGTTTGCCATGCCCCATCCTCACATCACAGCAGTGCTCAGCTGCATAAAATGGGCTGTAAACCCTGCTCGTTTTGGCTGGCAGATACGATAAAGGTTATGTGTGCTTTACAGCATTAAGAATTTGATGGAGAAAGTTCCCCTGAGACCTCTTGCTGCACCAGGTCTTAGCATTTGCTACAGCGTAGCAGAGACCTCATGGGTCATCTTCCCTGTCCCTCCTTTGCTTGTTCAGGATTCGCTATCTAGCTCAATGATGCTTCTCACATAGATTAAAAGCATTTTAAATATGTATTATTTTTGCACTCTGTGTATCTGTGCCTTTCATACTCACATCTTAAATTCATCGCCTCTGTGCCAGTTGTTTGTAAATGTCCCCAGGTGCTTAACTCTTATTCTCTGAATCCTCTGAGCTATTGTTGGTGAGTGTGGCTATTACATATTCCTGATATTTCTCAAAGGTCAAAAGAAAATGTAAAAATGCCATTTCTTTTCTCTTCTCCCTACAAAGCAGAAAACACAATATTGTTCTGGTGCAGTTACTTTGGCTGATATGCTAAGATTTTATTTTTTTAAGTACACCTTATTGTATTTACTACAAACGTTCTGGATACAGAATTACTTCCTCAAATTATTAGGAGCTAGAAGATATAATCAGCTTTTATTCTGTTTTAAAACATATTACTCTACCCCAACAGTCTATTTGCGACAGTTTGCTCTCATCTTCCTGCAACCCATCTTAAAAATGAGACATAAAATTGAGGCTGTGGATGCTTATGGACCCAATCCTGCAACATTTATGCACCTGTTTAAGCTGAATCATGCGAGGATTCATAGTGAAATGAATGTGCAGAATGACTAACATTTGAGGAACTATGGCAATTGCTCCAAAGCAGTCTGCAGCTCTTTGGGATAATGAGCAATGCATGAAACTGGTGCATTATCGAGGTGGATTATCTGCTCCTCCCCCAAATCTGGCCAGGATGCTATAAAGGATGGACTTGGAGTGCATGCAGGGTAAACTGTCCTCTCCTGTAGTCAGTATTATTATATTAATTTCTTTTTATCACTGCAGTAAGGCTCCTGACCGTGTAAAATTTAGCCCTCAGCAGTGCAACAAGATCTCGAGGTTTTTGTCGCAGAGTCACACTTGGTGGTGTTATACAGCCTCGTTAATTGATTACAAAATAATTCAGCAAGCTGCACTGTTCCTGCACCTTCTATACCTTCCTGCACCTATCTTGCTGCCTACTCACCCCAAACCAGCTGCACTTCAAGGTCCTGGTGCCCATGTCTGAAGCCCAATCAACTGAAGAATGACCTTTCTCTCTGACCTACGTTTTCAGGGGAATAAAGCAACAGATGACACCAAGTAGAGGATTCACAGAGCTCTTTGTGTGAACCCCTTGCAATGGAGCTCTCCAGTGAAGGGCATCAAGCTTAACTTCCAGCTCACCCTGCAAGGAGGATTTTTAAAAAATTTCAGTTAACAGGAGCATTTCCATTGATTTACACAGGAGCAGAGCCAAATCCCAGCATATCTTTTACGACAAGCTACTCCCCAGCAGAAGCAGCATCTCAGCAGATAGGATGTCCCTGCCCCTGAGAGTCCTTGTCCAGGAAAGCCAACTCCCACCACACACTGAATGATCCCCCCACTCTTTCCTCAGCCTTCATTGAGATTTCTGTTCTTGCACATCGCCACTGTGATTGGCAACCGAAACAGAAAGATCAGACAAAGGAAGCTGAAACACCACCTGGGATGGAGCTGAAAAAGATGCAGGAGCAGATATCTCCATCTGTATTCTTGAGGGTGTGTAGGAGGGGAAGCCAGCTGCGGTGTGGTGCTCCCGAATCACAGGGGACTGGTGCTCTGCCCCGCTGCATCTCGGGAAACCCCGATGTCAGTCCCTGCACCAGCAAGGTCACCTCAAAGCCTGTTTCCTTATCCTCAGGCCAGTCACACTGCTATGAAGCTCCAGACAAGGGTGGGCAAAAGGAGTCCAAGAATAAAACAGAAGGAAAATGAGGCTTTTCTTAGATTTATGCAGAAGGTGAATTATGGGGCTACTTACACCACCTAAAATCACTTTCTCCCCAGGGCCCTGAATACGCTCAATTATGAAAGCTGTATACTGGACTGTAAATTTGCCATATATACTACAGTATAATTGTACCAGACTCACCTATGTTGTATTTTTTACCTATAAATGTAATGGTGATTTGTTTGTCTCCTCTTTTTACAAGAGTTTCAGAATCCCCAGGAAAGCACATCGGCCGTAACTTGCTCCTTCCACCATTTAATCCAGATAAAGAGAAGAGTCTTCTGCTAAGTGTTCCCTCCCATACACAACACTGGGGTTAGGCATCCCTGTACATATGGGCACGTTTATCCCAGTGCAAGGCACCTCGGCAGGAATCGCACAACATTGACAGCATATCGCACCCTGAGCAACATACTTTTGAATTGATGCAAAAGCCGTGCACAGAAGGGAAAATGGCAGCTTTCCAAGTGGCCCCAGTTAATAGCTCTGTTTTGCTTAATGGTGCCTCCCATTCAGACTAAAGATGCTGTTTTAAATATGTAAGCAATTAGTATCTCTCGCTCTCAACACATCTGTGCTGCTTCTCTCTGCTGCATTATAAATCTGCCGCGTCCCTCTCCAGCTTGGCGGTGTGTATATCACCAGATATTCTGATTTTCAGCAACTTTCTGGCCCTAAAGAATTATGCTTCGATTTGATGATGCTCTGCCAGGCTGGCATTGCCTAAACCCTGACACAGCCGTCCTTTCCTCTCCAGATCTGGCACTTGACTTAGAGACAGCAGAGATATGGAGAAAGCACCTTTTGGTGGGCTTTTTGGCCACTCTTCAGTCCAAACATTACTTTATCCTTTTTCCAAGCTTTCACACACTTCCTGAATAGAAACTGCAGCTTTTTCTCTCCATAACAAAATCTAAGGGTGCCTGTAGCCTGCAGGAGGATGCTCGCAGGGGTTGTGATGTGGGTGAGATGCAGCCAAGCCCCTCAGAAGCAGAACACCATCCTTGTGCACTTCCTGCTTAAATAAATTCTGCCTGTTCAAACCCCAGCAGGACTTACAGAGTCGTGGCAGGACCAGTGTCATTATAGCGGTCAGTATTTATAGTAGTGCAAGGGGTCACTACTACTAAAATAGGAATTAATAATAACAGGGCTGGATGTGACTAGTTATTCAGCATTTTTTTTTAATAGAGATAGGTGTAATTAGTTATTCAGCGCTATTTCATTTTATTTTGTTTTATTTTATTTTAACAGAGTGTTTTCAGTCCCAAAAGCTCTGTGTTTTCGCCCGTCCCTTACGAGGAAGGAGGAGGAGGTACAACCACCGCACCGCGCACGGGAGTTACCGCTGTCTGATTTTATTACAGTTTTTGTCCTCTCGGGGAAGAAGCCGCCCGCCTGCGCCGTGCCCATTCCCCTCCCCGACCAGGACCGACCCCGCCACGGTGGGCGCAGGGGAGGGGACGCCACAGCCGAGGGAAGCGCATCCCTCGCAGTGGGGGGCACCGCGGGCGCAGCGGAGCCGGCGGGTCCCAACCCCCCGCGCCCGCCGCGGGGACGCGCCGCAAACTTTATCGGCGGGGGGGCGGCTCCGAGCGCCCCCTTTCTCCCTCCCTCCCTCCGTGCCGCCCACCTCCTCCCCGCGCCGGCGGGGCGGGCCAGGCGCTCCGCGGGCGCCGAGGGGCGGGGCGGCCGCCGCCGGCGGCGGCGGCGGCGCCGAGCCGGGACGCGGCGCCGGGCTCCGCACCCCGCGGAGCGGCCCAGCCCGGCCCAGCCCCGGAGCCATGCCGCTGCCGTGCCGGGGCTGGACGCTGGCGCTGCTCACGCTGCTGGTCGGGTTCCTCATCTTCGCCGATATCTCGGAGATCGAGGAGGAGAGCGGGTAAAGAACCCCCCGGTCCCCGCGCGGGGGAAGGGGCGCGGAGCGGAGCGGGGCTGGGGGGCCGGGGAGGAGGACGAGGAGGAGGCGGCGGCGGCGGAGGGGGCGGGCGCCCGGACAGTTTCTTTGTCTCCGGCTCTCCCGGTTTTTGCCGTGCCCAAGTGGGAAGGGAGCGCGCTGCGCTCCCGCGCAGCTCCGCGGGGCTGGCGGCGGCCCCGGGCGGGACGGGGCGGGATGGGGCGGGATGGGGCGCGGGGTCGGGGGACAGCCACGGGCCGGGCAGGGGGGCGGAGCTGGTTCCGCTCCCATTAGAGGCGCGGAGGTACCGGTCCGACTGGGGATGCTGAAGCAGGTACTGGTCCCTCTAGAGACGCTGAGATACCGGTCCGGGTAGGAATGCTGGAGCAGGTACCGCTCCCCTTAGGGGCGCGGGGGTAACCGGTCCAGGTAGGGATGCTGGAGGAGGTGCCGCTCCCATTAAAGAGGTGGAGGTACCGGTCCCAGTAGGAATGCTCGATCAGGTACAGGTCAGGATAGGGATGCTGGAGTAGGTACCAGTGCCATTAGAGATTCTAAGGTAACGGTCCAGGTAGGGATGCTTGACCAAGCACAGGTCTGGGTAGAGATGCTGGAGTGAGTACCAGTCTGATTAGAGATGTTGGAGCATATCGTGGTCTGGAGAGGGGTTTTGGCATGGGTGGTGCTCAGTTATTGATACACGGATGGAGCAGGTCCCTAAGCAGGATGTTGGTGCAGGTGGTGTGCTGGGCAGGGTTGCTGGGGCAAGTTGCAGCCCAGGGGGCTTGGGTGCCACTGCTGGTGCAGATGGGTGTGGTGGAGAGGGTACCAACCCACAGGGGTGACGGATAAGGGACCAGTCTGTGGGATGGGAGAGATTGAGCAGAGACCAGATGGGTGGAAGAGTTCAACCCACTGGTGTGTCCCCATGGGATGCGTTAGGGGCTTTGTGATCACCCCCTCCCGATCACTTCTGTGGTGGGTTTTTACCTGCAGGTACCCTGTATGGCAGGGGCTAAAGCAGCCCCTGTGTCTGAGAAGCAACACCCTACCAACCCCATAAACCCCATCTCTGAGGTCTGCTTGGAAACTTAGGGGATGAGAGGAACAAATGCAGAGGGGAGGGTTTGCATTAACTTGAGAAATTCACTACAGCAATTTGGGAAAACAAATAATTTTATTAATGAGGGGTGCACTCACAGTGCCCAGATGACACAAAGGCCTTTTTGTTTGCGACCAGGTGGCGTTGACCACTGTGTTACATCAAAACAAACACCTTGCTGAAATGATAAATGAAATGCAGTTGATGTTTGTTTATTGTTTCATTGTTATATTATATTGGGTGCCACAGGCAAGAAGTGCTCAAAGGTCAGTAGCCTTGCCCAGAAACATCCAGCACCAGACTCTCTGTTACCAGGGTAGATGAATTGTTGCTCTGCAATGAGCTGGCACTATCTATCTAATAATAAAAGAAATTAAAAGCTTTTGATGCATCCTCCCCATCGGACAGGCTACTCTGATCCTCTTGCTTTCCTCCCATCTTTTTTCCAGCTTCTATTCTTTCTTCTCTACCCTCACCTATCTGCTAGATCTGCCTGCTGGAACTTACTGTGCCCTTATTGAAAATCTATTCTCTTTCGTTACTTACTTGTCCTGTTTTTCACCCTGGTTCATTAGGGATTCCCAGTGTTGTGTCTTTTTTTCTCCTCTCTTTTCTCTACATTGTATGGAAATTGGATGTTTGTTGGCTGCTTATCTCCAAACCCTGGCATCTGAGTTTGTTGCTGTAGTTCCTCCAAGGAAGTATTGCCAAGCAGTGCAGTGGCAGCAATGGCAACAGGGTCAGATGAGTTCTGTAGGAACAGCGAGCAGCTTGTTTCATATAGCATTCAGAAATTATAGTGCAAGAGGTAACTGGTAAAGGAGAGGAGCACCCTGCGTCCCAGGGGGTGAAGGAGGGGTCCAGCAGTCTAGTACCCTCAGATACATGTTAGTGCCAGACCTTTCACAGATAAGTTCCCACATCAACTGTGCTTCCCATATAGGGATGAACAGAGCATAAGTGGGACTCTGCTATATTACTTAATTTTTCAACTTTGGGGGCCACATAATAGCATTCTTTGTCAACAGGTCCTGTAGGTAAAGGGAGTTGTGAGACAGCAAAAGTGCACAACAGTGTAGAGAAGAGACCCTCCCAAAGCTTTCCAGGAGCTCTCTGTGTGTCCAGGAGGGAACAGCTCCTCTCCATGAGAGGTTTGGGAGGTACTGTGTATTTGCACTGTTCTCCCTCACGTCAGGAATATTTGACTGATGGATCGTGTGGCTCAACATCCTCCTTCACACCCCCATAAACCACCCTCATGTTGGTCAGAGCAGCAGCAAGGGAAGGAAGGAGCTGGCCAGGTGTCCCCTGGCAGGCTCATGATGCTGAGGGGAGTTGGGAAATGCAGGCAGGTGCAAATCTTTTCTTCTTTTTCCTTGGCATCGAAACACTCTCTAATTATTGTGAGGAGTGAACAGCTTGCCCACTTTTACACGTACCCTGCCCCCTGCCTGTAATTTGGATTGTCTTTGGAAGAACGCGCCTCATTCATGTGGGAACAGGGGGGAACAGATTTCTCTCACCTACAAATACTGAGAAATTGCAGAAAGAAAACACAAAATGTTCATTAGGTAAAAAGTAAGAACATAATACTACTGGCAAATGGAAAAAAACCCCAAACCCCATGCTGTTTCTTTGGACAATAAGTTTCCAGCATCGCAGGTGAAGGCAGATAGAAGCCAAGGGCGGCTGGGAGCTGCTCTGCCTGCCAAAGGCTTCTGAGAAAGATGTTTGCTCCTTGAGCAGTCCCATCTCACTCCTCTAGATATCCTTATACAACCTCCCGCAGCCAGGAGATGCTGAAACAAAGAGATGTCGGGGCAAGGATGAAAATTCAGCAGTTTCTCGCTCCCGATGCTGCGTGGCTCCGGTTAGCCCGTTCCTCCCACCCTGCAGCCACCCCTGTCCGCGGGTTTTTCCTGCTGTGGCATCCCTGTCACCCACAGATGCGTGGCTGGAGCCGGTCCCGCGGGATGCCGGCGGGCGGGGGGCGGACTCGCCCCTCTCTCCTTGGCTCCCTCCCCGGTCGCCGGCGTGTGCTGCGCGGTGAAGTATTGCTGTCGTGAATGGTCTTGGCACTTTGTTTCCGAACAACCACCTGGTTCCGGGCTGCTGAACTTTTCCTGCAGCCCGGTGGCGCCTATGTTTTCATCCGTCGCTCCGGCTCTTTGTTTCCCTGGAAGGAAACAAAAGACGCGCTCGCGGTCTGTCTTGGGGAGCACTGATGCGATCGCAGCCGTTTCCTCGTCCACCCCCGGGACAGGGGAGAGGGACAGACCACAGAGGAAGACAAAGGACTCGGCATCGAGTGGGATGATTATTGCCGGTGGCGAGGAGGAAAATTCTGCTCCAGTTTAAAGGGACTCTTTGTTATTCTAAGCCTGCCGTAGCAGTTCTGCAGGGGTCCGGCTGTGTCCTGATTGTCTGTAGAGGGAGCTGGTGACCCGCTGCCACCAGGTGACTTCTCGAATTAGCGTCTGAGCCATCTTAGGGAGCACTTGACACTTGGTAATGGGTTGGTCTTAATATGAGTCAACCTTTTCCCTGCTAGCCCAGACCACATGCCTTTCCATCCTGATTACAGGAGGAATTATATTCTGTTCTCTCTAAGTGACGAATTGGAGTCTCTGATATTGCTGGCCTGCCTGGAAGCTTGTCAGTAAATTGCCACTTTTTCCTCATGTGCCCTTTTCTAACGCCTGCCTTTCAAAGGCTCGGGGAGAGAGATTTTGTGTCATTTATGGTGGCTGATGCGCTTGCTCTGAGTGGTCTGTAGCGGGCTATAGTCGTAACGCTTCTTGTCAAGGTTGGTCCATGGGGTATAAATGTCCTGCTCAGGTCTTTCAGCTTGTGATTTACTGCTTCTGACCCAAAGTCAGTCTAAAACTTGCTCTCCACCAGAAGGTTTTGCTGGAAAAAGTGCTGTATTCTACCAACATACACTTTTGTGTGCTCACACAGCAGGTGCACACTACCCAACAATTATCCAGGTTGGGCTGGAGGAGGAATAGCTCTCAGCAGGGCAGAAACTCACAGACACCCTGGAACTATTCATGTAGATGGAGCCAAAGGAGACCTTTTTACTCACTGGTTATGGCAGGGCTCTAATAAAAGCTCCGTGACACGTCAGGTTGGAAAATAAAAGCAATGTTGGAGCACTGATTTAAGTAAGAAAATATTCAGGGTAGGCTTTCATTTCAACTCTTCTAACAATAACCTGTTCTCAAGCAGCCGATTTCAGGTGGGCTACAGAGCTCCCCCTCCTCCCCGTGAAACACTCCCTCATCTCCTGTAGCCCTGCAGGGGCACAGGGGACTGCCACAAAGACATATTCAAATCCCTGTGTTCCTGCCTAGAGCAGGCTGAAGGAGATGAATCTCCACAGCTTGTTTTCTTAAACTGAGCCCTGACAGAATGGCAGGAGCAGTGGTACCTGCAGGGAATCGGTGTCCAGCAGGAGGGCTGGGAGCAGCAGGATGGGAAGCACTTGCAGACCCCCAAGCAAGCCAGTGGAACAGAAAGAAAACCCACAAATAAGGGATTTCCATTACAGCTGGTGAAAAGTTACTCTTCAGTCCAGTACTGATTGTCAGCAGCTTGCAAGACCCTCAAGGAGGAAATTTCTGAGCTTGCTGGTGAGGAGGGCAGTTAGCTGTGGTAGGAGGTTGCACATCACCAGCCAGCCTTTCTTGGGTGCAGAGTTGCTGAAGGCAGGCCAGTTCACAGACTAGAGCAATGAAGAGGGAGCAAAGTGATTCCCAGAAGGGCTTCAAGATTCCCTTTTGCCCAGGTGGGCTTTTTGTTTCCCATCCCTAACCCCACGAATGCACTATCCTGGTTGGGAAAGCAGAGGAAACCTTTTTCTCCCAGCAGAGAACAAGGA